AAACTCCAAGGTAAGTGTTTTTATGTTGTTTTGTTAATAGCCTAACATAATATGAACATTGCCATAAATACACGCACCATAATCAGTTTTGCTGTGTTTATTCAGCGTGTGTGGGTGTGTGTATTCTTTTTCTTTTTTTTAAAGGTCTCTTAAGCTCACCAAGGCTGATTATTTTTTAATAAAATATTACATAGAAGCTTACTCCTCCTCATTGAAAATTGTCTAAAACATTTAGGTCGATTACAATGAATTATAGGCATATAAATAACTATTAACAGTCTATAATATGTCCGAACATTGCAATAATTAAACATCAATGAAAATTAAAAACAGGTTTATTTCAAAAACATTGTTTAACAAATTAATAAAAGCATTACATCGCAGGTGGCTTGGAAGACGTGGGTAATATGGTTAATCCATTTTGCAACACGAACTGGAGGTAAGCAACAGTAATTTGTAGCTAGTTTGAACTACAGAACTTGAAGATCTCCCTCTTTTCGTTTTTATTTTTATTTAATTTTTGCTGCAGATGAAATGGTTAAACTTCTGTTTTCGCGCAGGCGCAGACAGTGAGGGAAAAAACACTGAGTTTAGGGCAATCGGTTCGTAGCTTTGCTTCAACTGTGCGATATAGTCACAAGGAGTGACCAAAATTTCTGACATGCCAGAAATTCATCCGACCATCCGATTGTCGATCGGGAGAGGTTAATCGCCTCTCGTTTCTCCCTGTACACTGCACGAACACTGCACGACCAGCCCGTTCTCATCCTTTGGCGTCATACATGTGACGCTTTGGACATTTCGTCGAAATCTTACGCACATGGCATCCTTTAGCATCAATATGAGACGCAGAACCCAAGGCGTCATACAGGTGACGCTCGTCTAAATCCGACGCACATGGCATCGTTTAGCGTCAATATGAGACGCAGATCCCAAGGCGTCATAACCGTACCCTACTCCAGACTTAAACCTACCCATAACAGTGCGTGTTATATTGACGCTAAAGGATGCCATGTGCGTAAGATTTCGACGAAATGTCATATGGCGTCACCTATATGACGCCAAAGGATGAGAATGCGTTGGCACGACAAACGACACACGACAAAGCTGAAAATCGGTCCGACCCGAAAAAGAGTCGCACGAGTCAGAATTCGGCTCAAAATCGGACGAAAATCGCACCGTGTATGGCCGCCAGTACTCTATCTATCAGCCAATCACTAAACACGCTCCTCTCCCTCTGAGCTATTCTTATTTGCTGATCAGGTTGTCAATCCACTTCATCTCTATGACAATAGTCATAGTGGCAGTTCAAATCAAAATGGAATTGGAATGTTTGGAATGTCCCAGAGAGTGTGGTTTTTCCTAATTCTTGCTGAGGAGAAATGAACCCTGGGTAAATATATATATTCTATGTATATATAACCATGTGATACATGCATCTAATGTTCCATCTCATGATTTTCCTTTGTGTATGGTCTGTGTGTCCTTGTAAATTTTAATGGGTTAATGTTTGAGACATGACTTGCATACTATGAGAAACAGAAATCACTGTGTAGCATGTTTAGTCTCGATAAACTCCAATCTTCGTTCCCCATTTGTTGATTTACATTACATCTGGCTAACTTTGTAACGCAGGGGTGTTATAAGAAATCTTGAAGGTTCTTTCTCTTAAACACCCAATGAACTGACATATTCAAATGTCCTGCGAGATTCACCAGAACACTTTACGACTGTGGCTCGAGCTTCAAATAGATCTTATCAAACTAACCCCCTCCTTTCTGCGGAGAAAGGAATGCCATGCGGTCAAAGATTCCCTTCTGAAAACGCACATACACGAAGCTTTAATTCACTCATTTAAAGACTTTACTGAGATATTTGATATGTTTTAAGTGGACCTGCTTGCCCATGTCATAGTAAGTTCTCTATGATTTTATCGTAGCCGTACCTTCATTCCAAGAGCTTATAGTTATGTATTAAGATGTATTTTCATATTCCAATTATGTGTAAATGTTTTGTTTGGTACCGTTTTAATTATCTCGTTCCAACGGATTTGGTCAGATACAGAAGATCACAGTAAAGTGTATGATTCTGTGTGCAACAGCTTTTTGGGACAGGAAGGACCAATTCTGACACTGCCATAAATCGAGCTTCGACAAGACAAAGCCGAGTTTGCCGCCAAAAGCTTTGTTGCATGTCATTGGCCAGTTCGCACCTCAGAGGTGTGGACTTCAGTTCCTTTAAGAGAAACTGAACCTCAGATCCTCGCTCGTACTCTGGACTCGCTCTTCCTCCATCATGTGACTCCTTGGTCCATCGGGACCTCGTGTTCATGCGATGACCCATCTTTCCTTTGTTTGTCTAGTTCAGTTTTATTTTCCTTTTTGTATTCTCCTTTGTTCATTCTCACCGGCGAGTGAAATTAACTTAGTTTGAATCATTTCTTTGGCAACACCTTCAACGGACGATTTGAACATCCCGCCACACGGCCGCGCCGGAAAGGACCTCTGACCGGGTCCGGAACACACACACACACACACACACACACGAGAGAACATGATCAGCAAGTATTCGTTTTCCTACCGAGATCTAAATACTGCTAAGATTGCCTGCCCTAATTAGGGTACGATTTGACTCTAGTTGTCTCTCTTAACGGTTCTGTGTCTGTGATGAATTTTGCCAAACTCATGATCTCTCCAGATCTTCTCTCTCTCTCTCCCTCCCTCTCTGTCTATCTCACATGATCTTTCGCGATCAGCTCTCTCTCTCTCTCTCTCTCTCTCTCTCTCTCTCTCTCTCTCTCTCTCTCTCTCTCTCTCTCTCTCTCTCTCTCTCTCTCTCTCTCTCTCTCTCTCTCACACTGATCTTTCGCAATCAGTTCTCTCTCTCTCTCTCTCTCTCTCTCTCTCTCTCTCTTTCTATATGCATTCTCCTTCTTCGATGTTTTATTGTGTTTGTAAATACATTTATTCCTTGTAACGTTCATTAACCGTATACGTAATCACATTTATTAAATACATATATTCATTGATTGACTCTGTCATTTGCTCATACTTCAGCTCATACAAGCTTTAAAAGTGTAGAATACTTTAAATAGTATTGTGACAAAACAGGAAAGCTATCTTTTACGGCCGTAAAGATCGTCTCTTCCTGCAAGTCTCTTAAAGGTAATTTCTCTGTGGAAATTGATGAAGATCCATGATCAGTTTGCTGGACAAACAGATTATTCGATGCTAATTAATTCCATTGAGAATTATCCTGAGAATCTATATATTCTAGACAATTTGTATATGAATATTGAATTATAATTCATTATGATTTGATTATTGATAAATAAAATTGATCTATCTTGCCGATCTGTATGAATAATTGATTATACATCCAGTGTATTCAGTCGTTCATAACAGATTGGCAACGTAACCCCCTTTGCCGGGTGATTTTTAACATGAATTGTTATCTGCGTCAAACCCGTATCAATAGTTATTAATTTGTAATTACTAAATATTGAATACATATTCCCCAATGGCCCAAATACTTTGCAGTTTTTTGCTGAACTGAGAATCAGTGATAAAACTGATCATGCTCAAGAGCCATTGTCTTTTAGTTGTTTTTTTAAAGCATATGTTTGGTTTGATAGTGTAAAGGTTATCACTGTGCATGATCCCAAACTAAGTATTGTTGTCATAAGCTCTATTCGGACGGTTATTGTTTCTCATGGGGACATGAGTCCCATAATGTCTGTAATTGTAGTGCTGTCTGAATCCAGAATGTCAGGGTTTTTCTCCCACCACCCGTGTAAAAATCCCTGGCCGAATTACCTACTGTTTTTTGGGTAGCACTTTATTTTACAGTCCTTTTCCGCATGTACATACTATGGGAATTACAATAACTGGGTTATAACTAGGCAACCTTTCCCTAAACCTAACCTTAACCCATGTATTTACCTTATTTTGCCAGTACTTTCCTGGGTAAGTACACTGTCATTACACGTACTGTGAAATAAAGTGTAACTGTTTTTTGACAAACACCAAGGTCATGTGGTAATTTAATTGCCGTCTGAATCCACATCTCTGAGTTTACAAGAAGAGATCACTTCAAAATTCACTATTTAAATCCTTTTTGACAACTACGGAGCACGATAAGATAACTGTTGTGCAATTTTAAAGATGTACACTTTTTATTACTGAAATGCTGGAAAGTATTTAAAAGAACAATATTTTATCACCCCTCTACCTCAGCAAGTGGGAGCTGTTATGAACAAAAAGGAGAAAGAGAAAAAAAAGCACGTAAACATTTTAAATGGGCCGTTATTATGGCAGAAATATATGCAATACAATTTTAAAATATGTATAATATACAATTATACACATTAAAAATGTAAATCAAGCAGCTTAATGTTTACTTCATGTAAATAAGAGGCTGTATTAACTTATTTCCGCTAATTTCCATATATTTTTTAAATAACTACCATCATTTGAGATAAAATGCAAGACAGAAAACCATTTCAAATACAGCATGTTGTCACGGGGTGGTTCAGGAAGGACAGAAGAAGGAATAAATCCAAAGCGAGTTTAATTCTCAAGACAGGCAAACGGGTGTAACAGCGTGTCAAACACAAACAATACCGAACACTGAACTGAAGACTGGCAGGAACTTAAATACACAATGATGATTAACACAAATGACAGGCAGCTGTGAGGAAGGTGATCAGTGTCCATGGTTACAGATTGGTGGCGGGAAACAAGACTGAGGAACACATTTGAAAAATGAAAACAAACTGAAAGTCAAAAAGAAGCCTAATGGTGACATAACGCCCCCCTCCGGCAAGGCGCGTCCTGGCGCCGTAACGAAATGACGGAGGGGGGGAATCGGAGGAGGTTCAAGTGGTGGACGAGACGAAGACGAAGTGCAGAAGAGAGGCAGGATGGTGAGGTGCCGACGACGATTCCCTGACGGCACAGATGTAGATGGCCTGGTGGCGCAGACCCAGAGCCGTCCAGTACCGACAGCCCACGGCAGAGTAGACGGATGGAAGAGACCAGGTGGAGAAGAGGCTGATGGTAGCTGGGGGATGACCGACGGAGACATGGTGGCAGGATCCATCGGCGCAGCCGGAGAGCCGGTGGACTCCAACGATGACCCTGGTCTTGGAGACCCAGGCGACATCGCGGCGACGAGTACAGGAGGTGGAGCCAGAGTACCCGAGAGCAGAGGCGGAGGTGGAGTGACGGAGGACAGAGGTGACGCCGAGGAGAAGGAGGAGCCCGCTGTAGCAGAAGGGGTGGAGGGACGGAGCGTAGCGGACAGACCGTAAGTCCGTGGCGAAGACAGAGTGACGACTGACCAAGGGGGAGCCGGCAGGACGAGGGAACCCGCTGCAGCCGATGGTTCGAGGGTCTCTGGTGGAGGCGTAGGTGGGAGGAGCCAAGACAGAGCCGGCAGGTCGACAGGCCGAGAAGGAGTGCAGAGGACTGAGGCTGGAGGCGGAGCCACGAGATCCTCATGCCTGGGTGCTGCGGATGGTGGGCTGACCTGCATCTCAAAGTCAGGGGGCCTCCCCAGAGACGATGTAGGGCAGTGAACATCTAGCAGCGTCGGGGCTGGAGAACTGGCTGAGTGTAGTGGAGCAGTGGAATCTGACAGGTTGACGACAGGGTAGACACAGTCACTGGAAGGGTCTGAGGATGATGGTGCAGATGACGGGTGGGATAGGGTGGGAACCGGTGTCTCCTCAGAAGAGTCCTTCAGCCAGTCCTCATAATCCGTGGATTGCGTGCCCTCGTCCTCAGATGTCGTGGGCTCACACCCCTGGTCAGACTCCTGTTGGAGCTCCTCCTCCGGGGCGAGGGTCAGCTCTGTCCTCTTAATCTCGGGCTCTGGCTGGTGCGTCGCGGCGGGTGGTAGCTCTCCGTCTGCGGGGGGCACGCACGAGTTCTCCGCGGTCGAGGGTTGCAATCCGGGCTCTGGGTCTGGCTGGGTTCTGGATCGGGTTGCGACGCTTTCCAGACACCTGATGATGGCCTCCTTCCAGTTCAGGTTAGAGGTGTCTGGGAGATCGATGCGCTGATGGAAGTTGGCCCCGATCCAGAACAGATTTTTCAGGGTTTCGTCGTCGAGGGGGCTGGTGACTGCAAGAACACAAAAGTCTCTTGTGAAAGTCAAAAAGTTCTGGCTCTTCTCTGCGAGCAGGATAAAGTCCAAATTATCCATTTTTGGGGTTCGGTATTCTGTCACGGGGTGGTTCAGGAAGGACAGAAGAAGGAATAAATCCAAAGCGAGTTTAATTCTCAAGACAGGCAAACGGGTGTAACAGCGTGTCAAACACAAACAATACCGAACACTGAACTGAAGACTGGCAGGAACTTAAATACACAATGATGATTAACACAAATGACAGACAGCTGTGAGGAAGGTGATCAGTGTCCATGGTTACAGATTGGTGGCGGGAAACAAGACTGAGGAACACATTTGAAAAATGAAAACAAACTGAAAGTCAAAAAGAAGCCTAATGGTGACACATGTCTTGTTTCCTATATTTACACTGGAGATTAAAAAATTGTAACAATACATAGGGCATTATTTTCCTATTATAAAATTAAATATGAATTTATTCTTATTATTCTAAACATATATAATTTTATTTACAGCAGACAATTATGCGACTGACCACATGAGCAGCACGTACCTGGGTTCGTAGCATAAAAAAACTCACTCCTCCACCGTGTATCACTGAGGTGCAACAGACGTCCACATGAAATATCAATTAACATATGAATAGGGCTATAGTGTAAGAACTTGCTCTGCCCCAGAAACTTTTTTTTGGTTGATGTCATGAATCCCACTTTGTTTGAACCACCTGGCTCCATTCTGGTATGCAACATTTTATGATACGATCAATACCTGACGGATAGAACCAACTTCTGCCCTTAATTTTCTTTCCTTTTTCACACAGCAATACTTCAGATTTTGAGGAGTAAAATCAGTTAAGAACAGGTGTTACACACTGACTTACATCATTCCTAACAGACATACTAGAAACCTCCTGCTGGAATACGCCAGGGGCTTTTGTGTTACGCATGTCAGAATAGGTCTTTTGAAAGAGCGAACACACACTAATCTGTTATGAAATCTGGGTATATAAAAACACCATTCTTCAGTGAAAAGAATCACAGTGAAAAAAATCACAGAGGGAGACTCAAGGAGGATTCCAAGGGAGACGGACATTGTCAGCTGCAGGATATGAGAGAGTCTGCATTTTAAAACCACCTTGTTGTTTTGTCTTTTCCACAGGGAAAAAAAACCCCACATCTTCCACATAATAATAATAATAATAAATAAACAAACAAGCCTTCCACTTTACTTGGTGTCTATTCAAATGGCAATAATGTCTACACTGCATAGAAATATTTGGATGATAAAGAAATGCTACTTATGTTCTAATTACTAACACATCAACATAAACTGAATTTCAATCATGCCCTACCTCTCGGCAATATAATGACAGATGTCAGCTGACTAAACTGGAGAATGGATCACTGTATTCATACTGTATGTATGCCATGCATTGCACATAACAAAAATTGTATTTCATCAAATAAAAAAAACTGTATTGCAGATGCTTATTCATCATCGAATGCATTTTATAATGTGATTTCTTTCCCTCTGTTCCAGACTCAGTGATTGCTTACATTAAAAAATAGATGACCTTGCAAAATGTATGCATACTTTAGTGGTTTTAACACCCTAGCATGTTTCTATAGCGATAAAGATGCAAATCAGCGACTCAAAAATACATTTACTGTATACTGCTGCCAGGAGACATTAAGTCTTTCTGCATCAGCAACAGCAACTCTTTCTGGGCCATGCACTGTTGACTCCCACATAGCCAAAAATCTAAAAGCAGTCTTCCAAACTGACACAATGTAATGTAGAAGTATAAAAAGTACTTTAGGCTTACTTAAGTGAAAATGGTCAAACATTTAAAAAATGTATTCTGTTAAATGTGTGTCTGGCCAAAAACAAGCAATATGTGAGCTAGTAAACAGGGTTTAACTTTATTTGACTAAAATGTTACTATTACTATTTTGTTTTAGTAAAGTAAAAATTCCCACACTTAATCCCTCAAGCATAGTTATGATGTAAAATGATTCAAGTACTTCACATCCATGATGTAGTGATTTAAAGAAGTAATTCAAAATGAAAATGGTCACAATTTACACACCATCGTGTCCTTTCAAATGTTCATGCATTTCGTTATACTGCAGAACACAAAAGAAGATTTAGAAAAAAAAAGGATTTTAGAAAAAAAACAGCTTTTGTTGAAAGTCCAAATCAACATCAGGCATCATTTAAAATGTATATCTTTCAAAATATGTTGCTTCAAAAGTCCTATTCAGACGGTAATTGTTTATCATGTGGTCGTAATGTATTTTCAACATTTACAGGGGTTAGTCGATGATTTTATTGCCGTCTAAATCCAGAATGTCAGTGTTTTTCTCCCACCATCCGCGTAAAAATCCCCGGCCAAATTACCTACTGTGTTTGACAAACACCAAGGTCGTGTGGTAATTTAGTTGCCGTCCGAATCCACATCTCTGAGTTTACAAGAAGAGATAACTTCAAAATTCACTGTTTAAATCCTTTTTGATCACTGCCGAGCACCGTATGATAACTGTTGCGCTTCACTGTAAGTTGCATGCATTTTAAAAATGTAAATTTTATTACTAAAATGCTGGAAAGTATTCACAAGAACAAAATTTCATCAACGCTCCACCTAGGCGAACGAAAAGGAGAAAGAGAAAAAAACACGTACACATTTTAAATGGGGCGTTATTGTGGCAGCAATACATTTTAACTTGTTTCGGCTAATTTCCATATTTTTTAAATTACATCCTTTTGAGATAAAATGCAAGACATAAAACCATTTCAAATATAGTGTACGCGCATCTAGCTTCCTATTTTTAAAAATGAGATTTAAATAATTAAATAAATAGAACATAATTTTCCTATTAACAAATTTTCTCTGTAAAAAAAAAAAAAAGTATACTGACTTGAGCAAGGACTTATTTGTATGCTATGTAGACTTCAAAAAGGCATTCGATAGCGTGTGGAGAGCTGGATTGTGGAATGTGCTGAGAAGTTTAGGATACCCAGAAAAAGTTGTCAGAATATTAGAGAGCTTATATAAAGGTACATACAGCGCTGTAAGAATAGGAGTTGATGTGACTGAATGGTTCAAAACAATAGTAGGAGTACTACAAGGCTGCGTGGTGTCTCCACTTCTCTTTAACATCTTTTTAGAGGTGATCATGGCAAGTGCGCTGGAAGAGGCAAAGGAAGGAGCAGTCATGAATGGACAAATCATCAACAACCTCAGATTTGCGGACGACATCGCAGCCTTGGCAGAAAACCAGGATGACCTACAAGTAATGATTAACAGAATTGTAGAGGAGAGTACAAGGATGAGCATGAAGGTCAACACAGGAAAGACAGAAGTACAACATATTGTCACGGGCTTTGGACGAATCACAGGAAGCAAATGCAAGTTAAAAGTTTATTAAAGTCTCACAAAAATCGGCAGTGCAAACAGATGGTAACGGTGACGCAGGGACAAGATGGTCAGGATCCGTGAAGTGGTGCGATGATGGTGATGACGGTGGTGAGACAAACGTAGAACTCGAATCCAGACGAAGAAACAGGAACACAAGGCAGGAACTGGACACCGGAATACCAACACGAACCACATGAAACAACGATCTGACAAGGATGAGAGAACAACGGTGAGTATAAATAGTGTGGTGATGATCAACTGCAGCTGGTGATGTGATGATGAGCAGCTGGAGCGGATCAAGTGATGTCATACAGACACACCCCTCACACACGTGCATTCATACAACAACATAAACACGAGACTAGAAGGAAACAGAGAAAACGTCTACCGTGACAGTACCCCTCCTCTTAAGAACGCCTCCTGGCGTTCTCAGACTCCCTTACCTGTCGATTGTAATCATCGATAAGAGAGTGATCCAGAATGTCTCTAGCAGGAACCCAACTTCTCTCCTCCGGGCCGTAACCTTCCCAATCCACCAAGTACTGAAATCCGCGTCCCCTCCGTCTAGAATCCAGAATACGATTGACCGAATAGGATGGTTCCCCATCTACGAGTCGCGGCGGTGGGGGAACCGGGACTGGCGGATTAATGCGAGCATAAAACACGGGCTTGACTTTGGATACATGGAACACGGGATGAATTCTCCTGTACGCAGGAGGAAGTTTGAGGCGGATTGCCACCGGACTAACGATCTTGGTGACAGCAAACGGGCCAATAAATTTGGGAGCAAGTTTATTCGAGACGGATCGGAGAGGAATGTTCTTGGTAGAAAGCCACACTTTAGAACCGACGACGTATACGGGAGGTCTCCGCCGGTGGCGATCGGCTTTGACCTTGGTGCGTGCTCCCACTTGGAGTAGAGTCTCACGGGCTCTAGTCCAAGTGCGATGACACCTCTGGATGAAGGCGTGGGCGGAGGGGACCACGACTTCGGACTCCAGACTAGGAAAAATTGGTGGCTGGTAACCTACACTACACTCAAACAGAGATAGGCCCGTAGATGACACTGGTAACGTATTGTGGGCGTACTCCACCATTGACAGTTGCTGACTCCATGAGGAAGGATTCTTGGAAACCAAACATCGCAACGTTCTTTCCAAATCCTGGTTGGCTCTCTCAGTTTGACCATTGCTCTGGGGATGAAACCCAGAGGACAGACTGACAGTCGCCACCAGTAATCTACAAAATTCTCGGCAAAATTTGGACACAAATTGGGGACCCCTGTCGGAAACCACGTCTATCGGGAGGCCATGTAACCGAAAGACGTGATCTACGATCGTTGCCGCTGTCTCCTTAGCTGAAGGCAATTTGGGTAAGGGAATGAAATGTGCTGCCTTCGAGAATCGGTCCACCACAGTTAAAACCACTGTGTTACCCTGAGAGGGTGGGAGGGCGGTAATGAAATCTAGAGCGATATGGGACCAGGGTCTCGAAGGCACCGGCAGCGGCTGAAGTAACCCATCTGGAGGTTGATTGGAAGACTTACCAATGGCACAAACTGAGCAAGCCAAAACAAAATCGTGAATGTCGCGAGCCATACGTGGCCACCAAAATCGTTGCTTCACTGAAAACCCAGTGCGATTAACTCCTGGATGACAAG